GCCTTGTTGAGATGTCTTTCTTTTCTGGCTCTTGCATCAGGACATGCCAGGAGTAGCCTGGGCTTGGCTCCTGCTTTCTGGCACTGTTCAAATCCAACCCAAGAGAAAAGTAACGTAATTGGGAAGTTTGTAAATTTCATATTTAAACCAAAATTTGATCAATTTCATCCAAATAGAGGCTTTATTATTTTGATTATAAGCTACTAGGAAATTAGCGGCAGAGCCGCCTTTCTATTTATCATCCTCAACCTTGTAGTTAAGACAACCTCTCCTGACACTTTGCTGTTCTTCTAGGAAACTTTAATGTGGTAAAGCTATCTTCCCTGCTACTTTCAATCCTTCCCTGATGCAGGTAATGAATTGCATACCTTTCTCATTATAAGTATCAATGATGTTCACTTAGAGCTAACTTAAATAGTGGTCTCACCAATCAACTATGTTGCCAACTTCTTTGATTCATCTTTCAAGTCTCTTTTTTTGTTTTGCTGCAAGAACCCTATATGGATTGAGGATCATATTGTCTATAAATTTGAATACCACCACCATCAATGATTGATAAGCTGTATCATAAGGATCACTTGATCATCAGTCTTAATGTCTAGATTGGGAACAATGAACTTAAGTCTTGCATCAAGTATTATTGCTGTATCTCATTAACGGTACTCAAAGTTGTGTATACTTTGCCGTGCATAGTTTTTTTGTGTTTTTTTGCAACTATAAACAACTTGGAAAAAGTATGTTTCTTGATTGAAGCTCAAAGATATGTACTTTTAAGCCAAAAACATAGTTTTCCCTGGTTGTGTGAAGTTGTGGAAAAAGAAAAGAAAACTATGCACAGCAAAGTATACACAACTTTGAGTACCGTAATTGAACTCATCCTTTCTCAATTCCTTGACTTGATCCTGCATCCTCTTTCAACACAGCTGCATGTATTTGAATGTGGCTCTTTTACCCAAAAAACAATTTATTTTACAATTTTAGATCTGCATAGAGTTCTTCTCCTTGATCAAAAGTTGATTTAAAGAGAAAAAACTTTGCACAACTCACTCATCATGACCATAATCGTGGTTTGATACACTGGCATTGAATTTGTAACTCAAATATGTCATCCGAGTCCTGCAGAGAGGATTATGTGTTGATTATGTTGAGTGAAATCGTCAAATGGGCAATATCAGAATGACATAATAAATGATTTCAAAGACTTGAGAAAATTATAAACATAATTCCCTGAGGGAACAGATTTTGAGTTGCAAGAGAGTTTTTAGTTGAGGATCGGTTGTAGATCATAGCAACATGGAGATTATTTCTATATAGATCTGATTTACCTACAAATGGAATTCAAGAGGATGAGTGCATTACACTTGGGGGCATGATGTTACAACTTTTAATCAATAACCTTGACCTCTTTGTGTATTCTTGAAAAGTTCTTTTTGTTTTCATGATGAATGATTTGAATCAGAAGACTGCTTCAATTGCTTTAAGTGAGGCTCTTTTGATGCAAAAGATGAAGTCAAATTGGAATAGCAGTAGCACAATTGTAATTATTTCTTTGTTTTGATATTGACTATGATGAAGCCAATCCTGATGACATCAGTTGACACAATTAGTGATTGTTGAGTGAGTATATTGATGTTGAAGGGAAGAAATTTGTAATTGGAGTATTATGGTGAAGCAATTCTGAGTGAATGAATTGTGATAAGTATCAATCAATCCAGGGGGGTAATAAATACACGTTGATGGACTTGATGTGAATGAAAGCTTTTGGACAAATCACAGTTCTACATTTGCATAATCAAAGGTTTTTTTGAATCTAACAATTGGTTTTGTTAGAAATCATGAGTTGTATCTGATGAAGTCAGTTTGAAATTGTCATCAATCATTAGGTTTGGATATACTATTGTTTCTGGATTCCCTATGATTCCAATTTAAAAAAAATATCATTGGTATGCTGACTCTGAATGAACACGGTTTTCTAGATCTTTCATAGCTGCCACCGAGGTCCTGATTTGAATGAGTTACACTTAGTTTGATTGTACTTGCTAAAGAGGTAAGAACAATACATACTTTATCAGC